TTTTTAAAAAAAAAAAAAGTAGTATGTTTTACTGGCCCGGTTGTTCGGTGAGGCAAAGGCCAGGCTATGGGAGTGCCGGAGCTGCGTTGCCGGGCTGTCGCTGCCGCGGGGCGCTCCCCAGCGCAAGCGCGGGGGCGGACTGCTTGGGCAAGGCGCGTTTAAGTGGTTTCAGGGACGCGGGGGTGAACAGATTGGGTAAGGAATTTCTCCCCGTCTTGGGTAGTAAGAATCCTGGAGGATTTTCCTGTTAAGTGCAGATTTCCAGTTAATGGTATTCTTTTGTGCTACGTTTCCTTCATAATTACAGTTTCATTTTGGAGCCAGTGTCCAGAAAATGTAAATATTAAGAGGTGTATATAATTTTTGTCACTACCATATGTTTTCGTAGCGCTGCTACAGTATGCTTTGGAGATGTCTTTTTTTGTAACACAGCTGACAATTCTGCGTCTGAATCTTGATCGCTTCTGGATTAATGTATTTCTTTCACTAAAATTGAAATGAAATGTTGTTTTGTGAATTTGAATGTTAAACTGAAAGTATTTTATTTGGGAGATAGTCTCTAACAGGGCTATAGTGTAGCCTCAGTGTTTGAAAACGGAAGATTCTGTAATTTCTGTGTTTGTCGAAGTATCTTGTACGATGATTATAATAAAGAATCGTTAGTTAAATTCAGTTTTATCTAACTTTTTCTAGTAACTGATTTCATGTTACGGTATTCTCTTGGGGTTTTTTGGCTCATTCTGAATTTTATTTTAGAGAATCATAGCACTGATTTCCAGTCTCACAGAATTTGAAGATTTTGTTGGGCTTGCAGCTTGGAAAATACCTATAGAAAGGACTGCCCAAACCGCTGTTACAGTGACCGCCCTGCACAGAACAAGTCAGAAAGTAAGGGTGATCTGTTTTCCTTGGCAGGTCATACAACATTCCAGTATTTTAATGGCACCCTCTGTAACAGGATTCAGAATTTCTGCAGATTCTTCTACATGCTGAGTGTAATTCAGATCGAAGGATAAAGGAAAAAATAATTTTCTTAAAAAGCTAAAGTTAAGAGCAATATTGTTAACTTACCTGAGGGGAGCGGTTCGTAGGCTGGACAAGGCGGCCGTTCAGAGGGACTTTGGTAGGATGGACAAAGGGGCTGGCAAGAACCTCATGAATTTCATGAGGCAAAGACAAAGTCCTGTGTCAGAGATGGAGTAACCCCCTGCACCAGTACAGGTTGGGGACAGACTTGAGAGAAAGCAGCTTTGCAGAAAAGGACCTGGGTGTCCTAGTGGGCCACTCGTTGAGTGTGAGTCAGACTGTGCCCTTGTGGCAAAGGTGGTCAACCACATTGTGGGCTGTCGAAGGCAAAGGGGATATCTTAGTGGTGTGAACAGAGAGGCATAGAGCCAGATTCCTCTTGATGGTGCACGGTGATGAGAGGCAATGGATGCAAGCTGGGACTCAGCAAATTCAGGTTTAGATATGAGGAAGTTCCCCCCCCCCCACCTGGAGGTTGGTCAAACGCTGAAGCAGGGGTCCAGAGGGTGCCTGGAGTCTTCAGCCATGGGGTTGTTTAGGACTCAGTTGGAGAAGGGCCTGAGCGACCACATCTAATTCAGTGTGGACTAGCTGGCTTCTGAAAGTCCCTTCCAACCCGAAGTAGTTTATTATTTTTTGATTACTCAAAAAGCCAGGTAGTATAGTTTGCAAATTAATTACTAAAGTGATGCTTAGGTAAACACAAACCCAATAAAGTATGCAAGACACCTTAGTTTTTCCTTGAAGTTACATCTGGAACTAACTGTACTGTTATCATAGTACAGTCCAATTTATATGTCATCTAAACTCTTGATTTTGATTCTCATCAATCTCTAAATATTATTAAAGGTTAGGTACAAAATTGTTGTGAATTTATCTTAGTCTCAGCTGTATTTGCTCAAATATAGAATGGGCTGTGGATTTCAGTTAGTTCGTACTGTGTGATAAATTTGAAGAATTTGTGTCATTGTTTCTTCAAGATGATTCAGGATTAAAGAAGAGCATGACATGGATGCTAAATTTCTTTAAGGTATCATTTTTAAATTAATTCTAGCTCATAAAGTAGTGGATTAGTTTATAACCTGTCAGGAAATTAAATCTATATTCAAAGAGGACGTACTGCAGTTTGGAGTGTGAGGCTTTTTATCTTTTCATCATTGCAAAAAAAAAAATCTGGTCTAAGCTTACAATGGAGCTCAATTGTGAGATGTGCGTGGGTCTTTCAAAGTGTCAGGGACTGCAGTGACCAAAATATAACAAAAGAACTGATGTATCTTTTATCATCTCACATGCAAGCATACTCTTTTTAGAATGATGCGGAGAGTAAATCAACACAAAAGTATTAAAGTTATTTTTACATCCCGAAGAATGTGAGGCCACTTGCTGCATGTTTATTTGAAGATGTGGATAAAGAAGGATTAAACGTGTTGGCTTAGAAAGGGATTTCTAAGATTTCTTTCCAGTATATCTCTCTGTAATTTGAAGTGGGAATGACTTAGCAGTGATTGCAAAATAAGTTGATGAAATAATTTTTTCTGAGGTTTTGAAAAAGGAAAAGTACAGTAGTGGTAATTCTGAAGTGAAGTCTTCATAACTGACTTCTCCAAACTTGTTCTACCTTCAGTAAATACTCTGTTTTCCAGATGTCGCATTGTTGGATGGGACAGGTAAAGGGAGGAGGATTGTATGTCCTCTTTTAGTATTCTTTTCTTCAGAAAACAATTTCATTTGTAGCTGTGCTGGAGGAAGTCATTAATCTGAGACTATTTTCCGCTAGAAACCCAAATTTGCTGTATCAGAAGTTCTTTTACCTTTCTCACTGGCCTGATAGATGCTTACTGCTTGGCTCCTTTGAACAGGAAGGAAATTTGTTCGTATCCTCCTGGCAGCCTAGAAGTGAGGGGCCTGACTGTTCTTTGAGTGGTTCAGTTAAAGACCTAATTTAATCAACTGGTATTCTGACTTTTAAGTTCTCTCTACCTACAGGAATCACAGATGTTAGAAAAAGCTGAGCATCTTCCCTCTGTACTCCCATGCTGTAGTTAGATGTGGGAAAAATAATGCGTAATTGTAATGCTAATTGTATGTTTGGCTGTGTAAAAATAGGGAAAATTTCTTACCTGTTGCATGTTGCTGGGCCTAATCTCTACCAGGAGGATTATGCTAGATTAATTATTTTAAATTACTTTGGTCACTGATAGGGTGAAATCAGGGAAAGTCTTCTGGTATAGTTGCTGTCTTAGTACAAGTACTTTAATAGAAGTAAGTTGGCATTTGTCTTTTTACTGATACAGTTCTGACAAAACGTCCTGATTCATGTCTGCCTTTAGTTCAGTCTTCAACCTCTTGTTTTCATTAAAAAAGGAGTATACAAAAAGAAAATCTCATTTAAATAACCTTTGTTTATACAATATTAAAACTGATTGAAGTAAAAGTCGCTAAATAAAAATTATCTCTCACTAATTTTCTCTTGTCCCTTGTGTACATTCAGCATAATGGAATTCTTTTACATTGCTCAAACACCCTGTATATAAATGTTATTATATACAGTTCTACATATTTTTGTTTTAGAGAGGTGAGCTTCCACATTATGTTTTATGCATGTGCAGAGAGCAGAACTGAGATTACTTATGTACCAGTCCTGGAGATATTTCAGCAACTTGTTTAAACTCTCTTGTGAGGTGATGCCTTAGACGTTTTCACCAGGGGACAAATGCAATCAGGAGTGGAAACCTTCATTCAGGAGCTTATGATCTTATTAGGACGTGAACTTACAAAATTAATTTTATCTTGGTTCGTCCTCAGGATGAGTTTTACCATTTTTAAGATTATTTGTAATGTGAATTTGCAAAACTTGGACTCTAATTAAAAAAGCATCCAATCATGAGTTTCTTTCTAAATAATGGCTTCCATCTATCATTATCCTACAAAGCACATTTTCATCTACCTTAATATGTTTAAACCTTAGCTGGTTTTTGTTAGTTTTATCTATGAACAATGATCCCCCAAACCTAATATGCAAATAAGGTTATCAACATTTTAAGTAGTTAACACTGCTTAAGTATGGTTTTGGAAGAGAAGTGGTTATTGGAAGTATTGAAATACCTTATTTTACTTTCTTTCAAAAGTGAATTTAAATTACTACATTTTTGTTAGCCTATAATTCTTTATTTTTTAGGGATTTCTACCTTGGTAAAGGTATATGGGACAAGAATTGACTGGAAAGCTGTTTTTAGGATGCCTGAAGATGATGAAAAAGTTACGCTCCGTCGAATTGAACCTGCCATTCAGAAATTCATTAAAGTGGCGATTCCAACAGATTTGGAGAGGTTAAGAAAACATCAAATAAATATTGAGAAGGTTAGTGTTAACTTTTTTACCAATACAGCTCCTTCTACAGTATAGAAGCAGTCACAATAGAAGATTATATGCAGACTGCAATGAAATGTTGGTTATGAAATGCTTTAGTTATGGCTATTCTTCATTTGCTAATGAAATTACTGTATTGTCTGGTCATTCAGCCTGCGAAAAGACTTTTACATTTGTGGAAACTGGTCAGTCCAGAGCAAGAAACACTACTATTTTGTTTTAACAAGTTGTTATAAGGAAAGCATCCCAATATTCTTTCCTTACTTTTAGGTCACAGTGGTTTGCCACCAGCTGTTCTGAATAGCTTACTGCTTATATTTGTCTTTCTCTATATAGATTTTTTTAACAGAGGCAAGAAAAAGAGAGAGAGAAATAGAGAGAGATTGGATTCTTAAAGTGAATAGAAAAATAATTGCCTGTATCAAAGTTTTAGCATGCTTATATGCTTCTTGTAGACATTACCTCACACTTGATAGTGAAATGGCTTTCTAGTCCTGCGAAACCGAGTATGTTCTAGAGCTTCCAAGAAAAATTAGTGTCATGTTGAATACTTGCATACACTGTGGCAATGACTGTATTAGTGAATTAAACATGCCCAGGACAGTTCTCTTGTTATGGGAGGGCTTATATCCATATTAGTAAACCCTCATACTCTGCAAAACCGGGTGGCTGCATCCACAATTACTAAGTGGGAGCGAGTGCCTGTCCTCCTTAATCATCCTCAGGAATTATTTTTATGAGTGCTGTTTGGCCTGGGCCAAAACTATGCCAGGAATTGTTCTAATAATTTCAGGTTGTAGAGATGATCAAATTTCAGACCTGAAACATTCTTTGTTTATTAATACAGATGTAGCCTCTGTAAAGAGAGAATTCTTTTTTTTCAGGGAAGACGGATATGAGATTGACTAAATGAATGAAATTTTCTTTGCCAGATTTCTGCCTCAAGTAATTTGAGGTTGGGGAGATGAGAGGAGAAGACAATATATCCATGTACTCATTTCTGAGAACTAGGCATTGCTTTGCCTAGTTTGAGTGATAATCCTTTTTTTAATAGCAGTGACATGCTTTGCAACAGTAGCTTGAGATTCATTTGAGGCAAGGTCTTTGTTAGGACTACACTTTGCTGTGCCTGCAAAAATCTGCCATATTTTGGCCAAGAATTAAGATTCTGAAAAGAAGTGGTTTGTAAGTGCCCAAAATTGGTTAGAAATTACTAGAACTTTTTTTCCGGAGTTGCTGATTTGATTGATCCTGAATCTGAGAATGAAAACAGGGAGATTATTTTCTATGTTCGTACTGTCTCGGCCTCTAACTTTCCTTTGCTGATGTGCAAGGGGAAACTGAAACTCTTTGTGAACAGAGGATAAAGAATTGGGGGGGAGCTTGTGCAGAAGTCCATGAGGGTGGAAGGAGAGAGAGCAGAATGGCGGGTGACTGTGGGAAGAGCTGTGGCTGCTGGCGCTAGTGATGGGAGATAATCATCTGACACTTTCCTAGTAAGGGGATCCAGTAAGCATAAAAACTGCAGTATTCAGAATTTGAAAAGTGTGGTAGTATATAATATTTGCACAGGGTGAAGCAGTAGCTCCTAAATGAGATGAACTATTTTCTCAGTCACAGCATACTGTTTACTCTGCAGTTCTATAGTTGTATAATTTGTAATGTTTCCTAAATGCCATGGGATTTTACTTTTTTTTTTTTTTGGCCTGGAATCAGTCACTTTGCTGCAGCTGATGCCGCGTTTTGTTCTAGCGGCCAGCAGCTGCTTTCTGTTCTCCAGCTTCTCCTGCAAAGAGCAGTTAATTGAGTTACTCTGCCTTGGAGCCACACTGTGCAGCAGTAGAGATCCAGAATTAGAGTGTAGCTTGCTGCTGGGTGAGAGGATGAGGGAAGCAAGGAGCCTCAACTGTTAAATTGCTGTGGAGCTGTGCGGCCTTCAGGCATCCATGCATGCATCTGTCAGTGTGTGTGGCCAGTACCTAGCAGTGGCTGTAGGACTAGCTAATGGCAACTAGCAAAGAATAATATGGGAGGAGGACTTAATCCAGAGGTGGCTAGAGGGGAGCATGATAGGGATAATACCTTTTCCATTCAAGCTGTTATAGTTGCATAGAGACAGTCTTGGTAACTAAGTTCTTCCCTTCTCTCTCTAACCAGAAGCTGCGCAACTGCCCCTGGAAGCAACATGCATCTGTCAAAATCAGTTGTTCCCTAATCCCTCGTGGTTGCAGAGCGTATTTCTTCAGAGTCGGCCTATGTTAAAAAATATTTGAAAATATATCTTCAGAGCAGTGCTCCACTTAACATCAGTGGCATCTATGAAGGTTCGGCAGTGACGCGAACCGTTATTCAGAGTCTCAGGGAAGGCATCTGGGAATTAAGGGATGCAGTTGATAAATATCTGCAAAGGAGTGGCATAAAAGCTATAGCCATGCCTGAGATGAACAAATGGATGGTCATTGGAAAAAGTCATAGTGTGTTGATAGAGAGGGAACTGACTTGTCAGTACGGAATGGGAAATGGTTAGCAGGGCACGAATGGTTTTGTTGCGCTTTGAAAATGAAGATAGGCTTTCAGTTTATGTATAATGCAGTAACCTGGGAGAGGTGAAGGAGGGGAATGCCAAGTTCAAAACTGTCAGGTTAAGGGAAAACCTATATACGGAAGCGTTATGCTTGGATGCTAGTGGGACAAAATTGCATTTGTTAAGGAGTGAGATAAAGAAATAGCAGTAATTTAGATACGATGTTACGAGTGTAACTGTTTTGCTGCTTGAATTTTGTTGGAAGAGTATAACTTTGTACAGCTAAATAGAATCTTTGCTAAGCGTTGCATGTATATGTAAGAAAACCCTCACTTCTTTGGGGTTTATAAACATCCTAACAAGAAGCTTCAAAAGGTGTGGGTTATTGTACTGAGAACAAGGACATGATCAGTTATCGTACTCTGTAGTCCTTGTTAGTAGTTTATCAGTGTGAGAAATGATCCTTAAAATTACATTTTGCAGTACCTGGTCATGAGGAGGGATAGCCAGCTACTTGTTGGTCCTGCTGAAAATTGTCTGTGTATTTTAACAAAGAATAATTATTCTGTATCTAGCCAGATATTGTTACCAGGGTATCATGGAAGGGGTGAAATATGCTCCGCCTAACTTGATCTTGTTCATGGGTTGGTAACTGAAGACCTTTTTGGCCCAGCGACTCATGGGATTTAAGCCTTCCTGTTTTGCAGGCAAAGGGGAAATCTTTATAAAGATATTTTTCTATGGCTAGAAGAAAATGCAGGCAATATTAGCACTCAAGATGAAATGAGTCTTTAGGTTACTTGTGGTTTAATACTCACTGTGTACAAAGCATTGTCAGAGAAACTCATGCTTCACCACAGCTAAGTTACAGGCAATACAAACCACAGTGTTTCTGTGATGGTATTTAATGTCCACATTGAAATACCAGGATACTTTATGAGTAATTGCATTTTATATTTTGACTATAATAATATTTATATTTTGAATCTGATGTGTTATGTCAAAGACTCCGATTTGGACATTTCTTGAGGTTTTTCAGGTTGCTGATGATATCGATGTGAAGAATGTTTAATCAAGGTAATTAAATTTGCATATCAGAAATTCTTTAAATAATTTTTAAAACAGATCTTAAAATTAAGGTGTTAACTGCTTTTCCTGAACAAAGCAAGAAGTGGCAGCAACATGTAATACAGATGTGTCTTTTTGATTTCAAAATTCCGTTAATTACAAATTTCTGTGTCCTTAGAGAGCGTAAGTCTTGGTGACTGGATTTGATGTGAGTGATGTGATGTTTGAATTAGTAATTAATAGACTTATTAGACACAAATAACTACAGATAAAACCTATGAATAAAAAATTAGTCACTATACCAAGAGGTATTAACAATACTGGAAAACTTCAGAGCCTCAACGTATTAACAAAGAATATAAGACTTAAAAATTTAGGAGAAGTAAAAAGTCTGAGTATAAAGATAGTTTCTAAATGCCTGATTTTTTTTAAAAGTACACAGTCACTATAATGTTCTTTAAGCTTGAAAATTCCTTTAAATGCTCTTGAAATACTTCTCAGACTTTAAGAACTATAAATATTCCAACATTTATTCTATCGATAGGTTTATGAGAAGATGAGAATTAAAATATGGCAATTCTGAATTTGAAATCTGTCACTCTAGATAGTTTTAGATTATCAGAACACTAGTGAAAGTAGTTGAAATGCTTCCATAATCATTTACATTTTTATCTCTTTAATATGCATTTTAGCCATAATGAAAGTGTTACAGTACTTTTGTGAGCTCTTAGCATCAGCAGCTTAAATGATTTTCTGTAAAATGCTTCTTGTAAAATTAACTTTCAGCCACGTAAACCCAACATTCCTGAGGGTAAAAGGATAATTTTGTAGAATCTAGTCCTGTTTATTTTACAGGCTACTTTTAAGCAAAAATCACTAATTATGTCAAATTGCTTAGAGCAGCAATATTATTTACTTATGATGAAGCCAATATCTCTAACCTCATTTCATGAATATTGATTTAAACCTTGGGTTCCAGAGATAGTCCAAACAATTAATCTACTAAATCACTGTTTGAAGAAACTATAAAATCAATATATAATGAAACTTGACCTTGAGTCCACCTTTTTAGAAAAAGCGTCTGCCATCAATTCACCATTGCTTCTTAAAGATGACAGGGAAACACTATTTTGAGTCTTGACTTTCCATATAAGAGTTTCTGGTGTTCCAAATTAAAATAGAGTTTGTTAAAGACCTGGGAATTACTTCCTTAAGAAATCAAGACTCCACATCATTTTTCTGTGTCCTGTTTTGCTGAAGAGTTCTTGTTTTCTCAAACACGTTATCTGGATTTGATGGCCTTTCCCTCCAAAATAGGGAATAAAAGGCATACTTAACCAAAAACCTGTAGAGTTATCAAATTTATGTTAGCCTCTGTTAGATGAAAGCAATTGTCATAATACTACAAGAAAGTGGAAATGTTGGCATGCTGCATGTATACATGGAAATGAGCTGGTCTTAAACTTTGTTGGTGATTGATAGGCAACAATTCTTTAAAAAAAAAAAAAGAAAGCTGCACGCCATGGCATGCTTTTCTCTGTTTTTCTCTGCTCTAAGTTCATTTCCCATGACTGTGCCAAAGTCAAAGGATCTTGCGTGAAGTGTATTTTTCTCATGGGCTAGGAACCGTTGATATGGTGGGAAGATACATAAAGGGCAGGTGACACAAACTGAGAAATTAAGAGATCTGGATCTTACTGCATCTTTCATCACAGTGTATACCTGGTATAAGAGAATTATGGTAGAGATTTTAGAAACACTGGTGGCTGTTACCCACTATACAAGTGAATGCAGAAGATATTATGAAACGCTTTTGAGTTCTCCATGTCCACTGAATACTGCAAAGGTCTCTTGCGAAAGCAGATTTTCAGAAGCGAGTTGGAGAAATGGGGAAAAAAGGGTTGAGTATCTGAGAGCAACGCTGTATTTTGTGTTCCTGAGGTAGAATGTATTTGGCAATAGCACAAAATAAAGCTGTTAAGATTGCATAGGTATTCTTACTTCATAGACCTCACTTGGCTTTACATTTATTTGTTAATGATAAAAGGAGGTGAAGTCATCTGTCCTCAAGGTTTGCTCTCCAGACTGACCTTGATTCGCCCAAAGTGAGCATCGCCCAGGAGCATGGCAGGCTTTGTGGTGAGCTCTGGGGTGACTCAGAGAGCGCAACATGGAAGAATTCCCAGCCCACGAGTGTCACTGCTCCGGGGGAATTAGTTGGATTCTTTGAGGTGATCCCTCGCACAGCAGAAGTTTCAAAGCGCATTGTAATAGAACTGCTGCATATATAAAACAGATAAATTTGTTGAGCATTTCTGGTAGAAATTATAAAGAGCAATAAAGGTTTCCTGTTGTATTCTTATTCTTCTAAATTGGAAAACAGGGTTTTTTATTATTCAGCATGTTAACAATATATTGCAGTCAGTTGAAATTGAAAAGATAATTTTTCCCCAAATCCCTCTTGTTCCACCCTCAGAAATTCATGTTTCCGTACTGTTTCAGGGATGACTGAATTGGAAGAGCTAATATTGATACAGGTTTTTGTCTATTTTATTTTAAAGAACAATGGCAATAGTTTTAATGGCATAATAATTTGTGCAGAAGTTGCTAGTTTCCTAGAAAAATAACTTTAATCTAACTTAATTGAAACTAAACCTTTTTCCTTCCATACTGCTACAAAATCCTAACATGAAGGAACTGTTTTCTCTGAAAATAAGTAACTTCAGATTCCTCATCATACTTTAGGAGACCGAGTATCTTGCAATCCTTATTGCTCTGGTCTCTATAATTAAAAAAAGGATTAATAAAAGATGTGGGCTGTAGATAAAGAGATTTTTTTTTTGAGGAGCATGAGCTGTTAAGAAATTGAAGAACTAAAATTTACATAAGACACATCAGAAGTCATGCTAAATATTTTTGTTCTGTCATGTGAATGATTAGAAAAGAATATTCTAATATTGTTGAGTATTTTAATGCATTCTTTGATGGTTTCAGTGCCTACCCCAAGAATCGCAGTTTGTACTACTCTCTGTTGTTTTATTAAGGGTATTTTCTTTTGTGATGGAGATGTCTCTGTATTAGTCTATGTTAACTAGCAATACCAGGGATTGATTTATTTTACCGATGAGAAGAAGGTTGTATGTGATGATACTGATAATTTTGCAAACCTTGCTTTCTGCGATTGGAATAATTACTGTGGCCTCTGTCCTGTGAAAAGAGCTGTACGGGTAGTTTCCCACTGAAGTTAGTGGAGCTTCATGCAGATACAGAATCTGCTTTGATGATTCTCTTAACTGTGTGTGTAACTATATAAAAAAGGTAAATGTAAATGAGGACAGTAGTGGCCTGTAATGAATGCAATTGCCTTTGCAAATAATATCTCGTATACCTTGTGGTCTTACATGACTGCTACTGCTTATCCCCCACTCCATTCCTTTTTCTTCCTTCTGCCCTTTATTTTGCTGACCACTAAGTGAAATATGCCACAGCAGTATCTGGATACTGCAAAATCTCTTTGTTGGTAAAAACTGTTACTAGAACCCTGGTTATTTGTGATTGAATGAAAATACATTATCCCAAATTATTCACAGAATATATTGCCATTTACTTGTCTAGTTTTGCAGTGGGAATGCCTGTGACTTAGCTTTTCTAATCTAAGTTTTGGAATATTAAAGTGATTATTCAGTGAAGTTGTCTTTCTGTGAATAGGCAATTGGTAAAAATTGCAATTATATGGAGATTTTTTTCTATATTTTAGTATCAAAGATGCAGGCTCTGGGGCAGATTACATGAAGAGCACATCAATGCAGGACGGACAGTTCAGGTAAAGATATTAAAATGAGTGCGATGTTAATGGAATTAAATTATATACATAGTACTGGTTACCTCGGGGACAGATTTTAACAGAGATGTAGATTTGACAGGTAGCTGATACCCCTTGACTTTGTTTAAAAAGTAGGGATTTCCTAGTTGTGTCCTGTGAGCAGATACAGTCACAATTTTTTTGAAACTGCTGAAGGAGAATATGGCTTATCCGTGGGAAGTTTCAGGATCCTTGAACAAACACTTTCTAGTTAGCTTTTCAAGTAAGGTATTTTTACAATAAATTCTGCAATTGTGTGAACATACTGTGAGGTTTTAGATTATTCCAAATGCACAAGTGACTGCTGGTATCTAAATAGTATATAATATTTATATATAGCTTTGAGTCATGCAAAGTTTGGAGACTCTGGTCTTTTGTTAACTGTATGCTTACATTACTAAATTAGAAGATTAGGAATTGCAATAGTGGGGTAGTTTTCATTTTAAAGAATGGTTTCATACCAAACACAGAACATCCAGACTACTAGTCTGGTGTGCAGATCTGTTGTTAGATGAGTAGAAACATCAAAAGAGATGAGTAGAAACATCAAAAGATGAAATAGCAGACACATTTCCGCGCATGGCATCATATCAGTGACTTCATATGTGGTGAACTGTAACTCAGCACACAGAGAATGTCACATCTTTTTTTAAAAAAAGCAGATCTTGATCAAAACAGTGCAGAAGCTAATGCCAGACATCTGCCTTCCCACTGTTGAACAGCACGCAACCCAAGAAGATTATTAGTACAGAAAAACACTAAGAGCAGATCTGCACTGCAAAGGTTTGCTGGAACAGATACAGCAGCTAGGTGTGGTAACACTGCTGTACTGGGAAAACTCGAGGGACAGACATACCTTTGCCAGTAGAAGAGGCATCTTGTTTTGGTTTAATGTATGTTACTCACGGGACGTGACTGTAGCTGGAGCAAACCTTTTCTGACCTATGCTGCATCTAGATGAGCAGACTTTGCCAGCAAGGGTAGTGCAGTCCTGAAACACTGAATTCCGTAATTCTAATACTATAAATTGTCATTTGGTGCAGTGCCCTATTGGCTCCCATGGGAAATAAGACCAGACTAAAAATGAAAAAAAAACTCAGAAAGAAAAATTAAGTGAACAACGGTATTAAACAGAGGGCAGAGCTAGAGTTATGTACATGTCACTTGATGACAGTATCTTTTTTGAGGAAAGAAAGGTGTTAATGTGCTTGTTTAGCATAACTGATATGAAGTTATATGTAAAGCCCACTTGATTGTTCTGTTATTTGAAGCTTTGAATGTTTATTATGTTTTTCACTAAGCATTTTTGAAATTTGAATATAAAATAAGTTTGTTCTTAGTCTCCACGTGCCGCCAAAGACATCTTCCAAAGACAGTTGCAAAATCAGTTGTATTAAAACAATAGCATTCTAACGGGTGTGGGGTAATAGGCACCTGTTTGCCTGTGTCCATGTTTTTATATATTTTCACATCTAAGGGGTGAGGAAGGCTTTCCTTGTAGCTTTCTTATCATCTGTATCATTTGTTTAGCAAGACAAAAAATCTATCAATAATTAGCTATAGAAATAGCTCTTATATTGAAGATTTTGTTTTTAGATACATTAAATGCTTTAGTAGTAAGAAGGCGTATTTGTCTCTAGAACATGTTTGTATTGAGTCGAAAGGCTGCCATTTTCACTTTCAACCAAAACACATTTTCTAATTTTTTAATTAATACTTTGTGCTTTTAGATCTCGATGAAAGTATGCATTAAATTGGTACACATTCTGAAATTGGTACATATTCTGATACTCAGAGAGCAGAATAAATATCTGGGTCCATGCAAGAAGAGTAGACTAGCTTTGTTTTAATTAAATAGTTAGGACTCTGGAGTACTTGATAATAAATTATATGACATGTAGAATGTGTTTGCTATAAGCTGTTTAAATGTTTACCAATGGACTTACGTTCTGTTTGTTTGCAAAGAAATCAGATTAATTATTGTGATACCAAATGTTCTCTGCAGCACACACTTTACTCTCAGAATTAGAAGTTGTAAAAATACATTAGGAATTCCTAAGTCAATATTGACCCAAGGCATCCACCACAGGTTTTAGACAAATATATGCACAGCCACTCTACATTTAATCCATGCGCACATAATTAGCCATTTTTCTGAATTTTCAGTTTACCCAGAATAATTACTTCTGTTGTACTTTTGATGGTGGTCAAAAGTATAATAGAAGTATAGATGAGCATAGCTGGATACCTCTTCTTTCTGATGACTGGACGCTACATTAAAAACTTCTGAAAGGAGAATGGACGGAGACAGTCCATTCAACGGAGAAACGGGGGAAATCTGCTTTGTATACGACGTGATGCCACCCTTTCAAAAATACTGAGAAAACAGCCCTAGTATATTGTGTCATTAGTTTTCACAGATGTGCTTTTATAGATGTTCCTTCTTAGGGATATTCCACGGAGCTTTTAAACTCCTAGGGCCTGATTAAATAGGCAGTTTTGCTAGGCTTTGTCCACATATATGCTAATTGTACTGTACAATTAATTACTTTAAATTAATTTCAAAGGAATAGCAGTACTTTGTTTTAACAGCTAAGGAGTGACGTGATCATACTCAGAGGAAGCCAAATACTGTCGTTATTACAGAGGATATAAGACATTGAACAAAATAGAAAAAATACCGTAGATGGTCTGGCTTGGGTCTATATCCAGCCCACAAAAGGAGACCTTATTCTGTAAAACACACCTAGGCAAACCTAGACTCTCTACTGTGGTGTTCCAACTTGAAAAGTAACTTGGAAAATGTCAGATTTTTTTTTCTCTTTCATGCTTTCCATTTTAACTGCAAATAGTTTACAAGTGAAAAAAGGTTTTTCTGTCAGTCAGCTTTGAAACTCAATCTGCTCTCTTTTGCATGCATCTCCGAACTTACTTGTGTTGGCTCTTATCTTCTGTAACATCTTTACACTTCTGCAGTCTTCAAAGTAAGTTCTTGTTATCCTTCTGGAAGGCCCCACAAATAAACTTTGAGAACAAGAGAAGCAGACTAGATGAGCGTCTCTGTTGCTGCAAGAGACCGTTTATGGTATCAAAGCAGGGTCATGTAAAATCAGCTGACTGTTGCAGTCTGTGGCTGTCAGAAGGTTAAACATATCCTTAAATTCAGACTTTGTAAGATTTATGCCAAGAAATTTGTGACATACATCCTTTATTACAGTACTTTGAATAAAGTCTAGAGAACATAAATGAAGACAAGATTACATTTGCAGAGGCAAGCTAGTGCAATACTTCCCCAAAACTCCTATTTAAGTTTGAGAGGGTTTTAATATGATGGGTAGTTTGTTTGGAGGCACTACTCACTTCATAATTTAAAACAACAAGGTGTAGAGTGGAGGGAAAGTTAACAGACAGAAGATGAGAGAAAAAGGGCTTACTTGTTGGACATGACAGATTCTATGACTTCCGTGTGCTATTTCAGCATAAATAGTTTAGGTTTAAAGTGTAAAATGTTCCAAAATATATATGGCATTATATTTCATGGTAATATAATCAAGGAGAAGAAAAAGAGAATGGGAGCCGCAGAGATCAGTGTGGCAGTGACATGACCACAGTAATTCAGTTAGCTGGTAGCTTTAGGAACAGTGTGGGCTGGTGAAGACAGAGTAAGTGAAGTGCTGGAGCACTTTCTGAGCACTCTGGGAAAATGAGTTTTACCAAGGATGTGTGGCTAGAACAGATACATGGGATTTTAAGGTAGCTGTTGCTGGGATGGGCCTTTGATGGTACCTTATTTTTTGTCATAACTGATAAGAGATACCACATGTTGCCTGGAAGAGACGAAAGTCATGAGTAGAAAAGTGATCCCGCAGCTCAAGTCCTTTCTGCCTTTGCAAGGACTTTGGCTTCATCTCAGCCCTTTGACGTTTGTGAGAGGTGTGATCATTCAGACCTGGTGTTTTCTCCTGGGCACCGGGGCCTCATTTTGGGTCAGCACTGAAGCACTGAGGTGCATTTATACTGTTCGTTACCACATCTTTTCACTGTGTTCTTAGTATGTGCTCGTACTTAATCTTAACGGTATGCTGTGGCAGTGTAGCCCAGCCTCTGTGATGTGACACAGTACTGCAGGTTGCTGCAAGCGTTTGCCAGCAGTTGAAGAGGAATTGTTTCCTTCTCTGTTGTCATCAGTTACTTTTTCTCAAATGTAATAAAAATGCTGGTACAACACTTGTGGTGATATTCTTGATTTTTACATATTTGAGTGTGAAGTGATGGTGGTATTTTAAGCTGGCCAACAATAAGGCTACATAAACACAGCATCCAGTTTTCATTGAGAGTTACATTACTTTGAAAATTCAGCAGTCACCACTAGTGAATAAATTTACTGCTCTGAAGAACAAATATTGACAAAAGAAAAAAAATAGAGAAGTGTTACTTGTTTGTAGGAATGAGGTTTACTGATTTGCTGAAAATTGCTGTTAGGACTTCTGCATTTTTTAAGGGAGTCTATCACTTTGTTCTAAACATCTGTAGAGAAACTCCCATTCCTGAGCTGCTTAGTAGCAGCAGAGTATGGGAAGATACTTTGTGTTTTTAAAGAGAATTCTAAAAATGGAAAACTTAATTCTAATTCCTCATCTTTCTTACTTAAATCTGTGTCCTGAGTAATAGGGTAAGCTAGTGGGTAGACATGTGTAGTCACTTTCAGCAACAGTGATTTTAAACCAAAGAAAAAGTTTTTAAATAAAGCTCTCTTACTTGTCTTGTTGACACCTTCTGGGTCCACAGCTTCCCCAGCATGCAGAATGCGAACTTAGGGTGACCATTGACAGAGGGTGTTTACAGGTACTCCTCTGTCCACAAACAAAACTCTTGCTGCACTGTCCAGCTTTTACAGCATTTTCCTGCTTTGCTGCTATGCGGATAATGAGCTACTTTTGTCTGCTGCCGTGTACATTTGA